CATACAGCATTGTCTATGGCCTACTCTTGTAATGAATTCCAACTGCCAAGGGATCTTTTACGTGCATGCCAATGAATACACAGTACCTCAGTTTTTCGTACCATCTGAATGACTAGACAGCTGTCCCTGTCAGGCCCTCCGTCCTGTATCACTGACAAGGGGGAAGCAAGTCGGAAAATCCTGAATACGAGATATCCTTTCTACGTCAATGCAGGAATCGAATATGAGACATCCAGCGTCTTACCCACTTAGTCACCGTGGCTCCCCAAAGAAAGCCAAAGAGAGAGAGAGAGAGAGAGATGGGGTTTAACGTCCACTTGACACAAACTAGGTCATTTCGGGACTAACATATGGTTTTATTTTTATTTCAATAATTCGCTTGCGCGTAGGGGTCTTTAGCAGTGGGAGAAAACCGAAGGACCCGGAGAAAACCCACGAGGTTGGACAGGCGACCCTACTCCTTGTCACGTACAACTGGGGAATCGAAACCCCGCCAGCTGACTCAATGACAGACCGTATGATACAGCGCGCGTGTGCTAACCATTCGGCCATCCAACCCCCCGAACGCCAAAGAGGTTAGAAAATGGAAGTGTTGGATTGAAACCACGCCATTTGATTCTATGACATACCTTGATCCCCCTACCCCCCCACTGTAATAAACAGTAATTGTATTTCATAGAAACGTGGGGATCACGTGGCTAAGACGCTGGCTCGCTAGCCTGGAGGTCGGGTGTTCGATCCCTGCACTGGCCGTGAACGTTCATTCAGATTTTCCGGCGTGGTTTCCCCTTGTTAGTGATGCAGGATGGAGGGCCTGACATGGACAGCTGTCTAGTTGTTCAGATGGGACGAAAAACTGAGGTCCCGTGTACACATTGGCGTGCACGTAAAAGATCCCTTGGCAGTTAGAATTCGATATAAGAGTAGGCTGTAGCGCCGCTGCCCGGGCAAATTTCCCTCATAGCACACTGTGTGGCGTATGCCCGTCTTCATTAGCCCAGTTTAGGAGCAGAACAGTAGGACGTTAAACACCATTTCATTTCATAGAAACGTGTCCTGTATATAACGTCAAGTTTATCATTGACCACTGTACATAATAAATATAATGTTATCTTTGTTATGTTGACAAATGTTTTGTTGTTTTAATCTTATCAGACCAGTAGAATAATATACATTTATTATCATATGGTGTGACACACTGGTGAATGTACCAGGATATTTGAGTATAACAAGTCCCTAGATACCAAGTGTGATAAACACAGCCTACAACTACACTATTCGATTTATCCTTTATATCGCTAGGATACATATAATACTCACATGTAAGTGTTCAAACTTGTCCCACAGGATACAGATGTTTTTACCTATCAGAAATCCTCAAGTACAGAACACAGCCTATCATAAATTCTAAAGTACAGAACACAGCCTATTTCCGAGAGAGAGAGAGATTTAGTGGTGAAAAGAAAACCCATGCAATTAGACAGAGAGAGGGAGAGAGGGTTTAATATCCATTCGAAACAAACTGGGTCATTTTGGGACTAACATATGGTACAATCTTATTTCAATAATTTGATTGCGCATAGGGGTCTTTAGCAGTGGGAGGAAACCGGAGAACCCGGAGAGAAGCCATGAGGTTGGACAGGCGACCCTACTCCTTGTCACATACAACAGGGGAATCGAAACCACGTCAGTTGACTTAAAGGACAATATTTGTCACTTCCGACTCAGGAAAACTGTATTACTCATCCATCGTAGCAATGATCTCTGTGTTAAAATTATATTTGGAATGTGTTTAACCAGCTTTAACACATATGTGATAATGACTGGCACCAATATTGTCCTTTAACGACAGACCTTATGATACAATGCACATACACTAACCATTCGGCCATCCAACCCTCCTTGTTGGTGTGGATTAAAGATACATTATGTAAGATTTAGATAAAGAGCTGACAGTTATCGCTATAATAGTTCGAAAATAGATAATGAAAAATGAATATATTGAAGATTTCATTCAAATGACTTTATTCTGAGCGAAGTTATCGCTGTCTGAACATGTAGCATAGATCGTGAATTATTGTAGCAATGGTAGTTGACAACTGATTAAAGTCTCGATTATCCATTTTATTGTTAAATTTTTAAATCTTGCAAGTGTTCAAATCCGTTGAAATCTTGGCCATCCGATAGGCTAGTGAGTATATTATAGGCTTTTCACCTGAATAAATGTCCTACATGTAATAATAGTTTATGTAACATTTGAGGCCAAAAGAAAGACCAGCAATAGACAGATTTAGCTCTTAGTATTACTCTTACAGGATGCATCTAGATGCGGTGGAATATCAATCAGATTAAAATACAGACCAATATTTCGTTTCGTTTTTTTATACATGTACTTTTGGTTTTGATGGCCAACACTACATGAAGATCTGACCAGTTGTAATGGAAGGTGGAATCAGGATCAGAGCGGCTTTTGACCCTATGACATCAGATATTTGATTAACCAATCAGCGGTGATGTTTCCAGTGGGTTACACACAGTTCTGTGCACCTCATGCCAAAAGCTCACTTTAACAGACCGTTTCATTGCCTAATCCCTCATATCATCTACAACTTGGGTTATACAACAACTCTTCCAGATCCTAGTGTAGTAAAGACAAGTAAAACCAAATTTTGAACTATAAAAAATGAAACCAAATAGGATCTGTGTTTTAATCAGATTGGTGAAAAATTAGAATATCCGTTAAAATTCACAACTGGGATCGTCAGCTTAAAGCAGTGGAAAAAAAACATCACAATCAATTGTCCATACAACCTTTTTCTACAGCGAAAATGGATTTTTGTCAAGTAGAATTGTACTGTATGCATAGAAATCAAATCTAACACAAACAAAATAAATCCATTGACGACAATACTCTGATTGTTTACCTAAGCATCCCGGACCTACATGTATACACACACATACATACAATAGATTTCTGTTTAGATTCAATGTTTCCCATTATCTTTAATATTCCAACGAAACAGTGATGATGATGGCGAGAGAAATGAAATGAAATGGAGTTTAACGTCCTACTGTTCTGCTCCTAACCTGGACTAATGAAGACGGGCATACGCCATACAGTGTGCTATGAGGGAAATTTTGCCCGGACAGCGGCACTACGGCCTACTCTTATATCGAATTCCATCTGCCAAGGGATCTTTTACGTGCACGCCAATGTGTACACGGGACCTCGGTTTTTCGTCCCATCTGAATGACTAGACAGCTTTCCTTGTCAGCCCCTCCGTCCTGCTTCACTGACAAGGGAGAACCACGTCGGAAAATCTGGATTGATGGCGAGAGAATTGGCCACTTGTATTGTGGGCACTACCAGTATATCTTTGTGTTGTCTGGACGTCTATGTTGAACAAGCGGTGGCGCCTAGAGAAATGGCAGACAATGAAATGTCACGTCCAGAAATTCCGACTTTTGACTTATCGTATCCTAACTACACCTAGATCTGGAAGAGTTTTTAAATATCTTGCATTCTGGTTGATGTGAAGTAATAGCCAATGAAATGTTGTGTTGGGTCGAGTTCATGCCGTCTGGCATGCGGAACTATGGGTAGACATTTGCAGCGGTAGAAAACAAATCAAAATTTGTTAATCAAAAATCATGATGTCGTACATGTAGGTCAAAGACCACTAGTATGACCCCTGACGTGACCTCCAACAACAGATTTTCATGTAGAAGAGGCCATCGAAAGTATAAAAAAAAACGAAACGAGATATAGATCTGTATTTTAATCAGATTGGATGCTACACTGCACCCGCTATAGCCTATCCCTTTTAGCTGTGACCCTTTCACCGACACAAACTGACTTCTGCCTTACTTGCATAGAGAAATGAGTTTAAAGTCAACTTGATACAAACTAGGTAAATTTGGAACTAAAATATAGTATTGCATTTTTTTTTCATTAATTTGAGTGCGTGTAGGGGGTCTTTAGAAGTTGGGGGGAAACTGTAGGACCCGAAATCCCCCCCAACACCAACAAGAGTTGACAGATTTCTTTCTGATTTCATTTACTGTCAGTACATCACCAGTTATCACTTTCAGTCTATATTTTCAAGGCCATAAGAAATTTCTAGCTTTTCAGGATTAACTATGTACAAGTACTTAACACTTAGTGGACAACCTAATCAATCTTCTGTGAACACATTTTTAAAATTCTATACTGGACTTCTAGCACAGTACTCCCTACAGTTCTTCATTAGTCATCCATGAAATACAACCTTCCTAAGATTATGTTAGATTATTAGATAGCTGGAGGGATTTGACCTCGGTGAAGCAAGCCTCATATACAATTTGAGACTAGCTCTCTCAGATGGCCAATATTAAAAAATGTTAAAGTTTTTGTAAATTTCTTTACTGAGAAGTGTATTGTCAGGCACATGATATGATTATTTCTTTGATGTTTCTCAATTCAGTCATATTTGTTGCAATTCATATTTGCTGTAGTCATATTTGTTGCAGTCATATTTTTGTTGTCATACATGTATGTGTTGCAGTCATATTTTTGTTGTCATATGTGTTGCAGTCATATTTTTGTTGTCATATGTGTTGCAGTAATATTTGTTGAACTAGTTGCAGTCATATTTTCCAGCCTTGACTGACAGTGAAATGAACAAGCTTCAGAGCCTAGCTACCAGTCAGTCAATTTAAACACAATCACATGATTTATTTAACTGCAACACACAAATACATAGGGGATGGGGAGAGAGAGAGAGAGAGAGAGAGAGAGAGATCCACTCGCCACAAAATAGGTTATTTTGGGAATAACACATGGTTCAATTTTATTTCAATAATTCGCTTGGACGTAGGGTTCTTCAGCAGTGGAAGGAAAGTGGTGATTCCAGAGACAAGCCATTGGGTCGGGCAAACGTCTCTACTCCTTGTCACCTACATGTACAAGAGTGGGGTCCATGAAAACAGACCAACGTAGAATAATAAGTAAATTTATTTACCTCTATTTTAGGTTCTGTGTGCCCCTTGTTCTGCTCTATGGAATAAAATCGTAAATATTCTCTGATATGACCAACTAGAACTAGTATACCATAACACATCACAGTTAAAATGGCTGTAAGTAGCGGGGTTTCTTCAAATGATTCATAAAAATTATCTTTCCAATTTTTCTGAAAAATATAAATATCGGCAATTAAACATACATTATGCAAGAGCTAAATCTGTATATCGCAGGTCTTTCTTTAGGCCTGAAATGTTATCTAAACTATTAATTAGACATTTATTAACATGAAAAGACCTTAATCAACTCTCGATGCCATCTTATGTGTCGGATTTTCACTGGATTTGAATCCTAAAATTGAATAATCGAGATTATGTTTTTTATTGTACCCACTTCAGTATTGATGATCGAGGCTAGGTCTAAAATTCAATTGTTAATATCTCGGTTCAAAGTGAAGCAATTTGACTGAAATTTAGTTTTTAACTATTATTTATAGTGAGAACTGCCAGCTCTTTATCTAATCCCCCATATTGCCCCTTTAATATTTATACAATAACAAATGAAATGGCATTTAAATAAAATCCTACTCTGTGAAGCATACTTATTGTTTTCGACTAAAATCATCGATTTGGGAATTGAAATGTCAGTCAATAGGCATAGTGTCTGTTCTCAAGACAGCACAATTTTAGTATGTGTACAATTTAGACCTCAAGCCCCAGATTGGTATATGACTAAAACAACAGACTTGGAAGGAAGAACTATATTATGATATTATGTGCGGTTTCATGGTTGCGTGCACAACATATTGATAGTGTGTTTCATCAATATATTATGTATAGTTTAATGGTCGAGAGCGAGACATTAAGTAATATATTGTAACAAGAGGGATGTAATACAATATACATGTATTACACAATGTCGTTAGCTCGAGACCATTAAACAACTTAAAATACAGATACTCTGCACATGCTTTTGCAATGAAATGCGTCACGCGGGTTCAGTATTTCACTAGTATAAATAATGCACGATTGGCAATTTGCCTGTACCATTATTATTTGAAATAATGATTCGCCAGCATCAAAGGATGACGTCACATCTGTATTTTAAACATGGATAGTACACAATGTCATGACAGATCATTAAACAATTTAAAATACAGATAAACACTATCTCACACATGTATTTCAATAAAATCTTCACATTTCATCCAGTATAAATAATGTAGGATTGGTGGGATTCAAATAATGGTAGGCCAACATCAAAGGATGACGTCATATCTGTATTGTCTTAATATAGCATGACAATAATATAAACCTAAAACTTACAGGTAAGTTGTTGGATTATTTACATGTACCTGTACCTGTACCTGAATAATTTGTCTTAACGTGTCTTGTGACAACATAACATACAATATTAATTAGATATGTCAGACAGACAGCTTAAAGTGGGAAGTCAAATTCCTGACCCTAATTTGAAAGATAAATCCCACCACAGCCCAACCGAGAGAGAAAGAGGAAAGAGAGACAGACAGACACACACACAAAACACACACAAGGTCATTTCGGGACTAACATTGTTCAATTTCATTTCAATAATTCGCTTGTGCTAGGGATCTCTAGCAGTGGAAGGAAACCGGGTAAAATCCACGAGTAGGGTCGCCTGTACAACCTCGTGGGTTTTCTACAGGTCCTCCGGTTTCCTCCCACTGCTAAAGACCCCTACGCGCAAGCGAATTATTGAAATAAAATTGAACCATATGTTAGTCCCGAAATGACCTAGTTTGTGTCGAGTGGACGCTAAACCCCATTTCGCTCCCTTTACTTAATCTTATCTAATGCCACTTTAACAAGTAATTGTTTCTCTATGACTATGACTGCACGAGTCGAGGAAAAAATCTGTACAGGAAAAAATATTGTTTGTTATTCAGTTATAGTTTGTGTGGTTTACGCGTATGTCGAGGAAATAATGTAACATATGTTATTCATTTGTTGTCGTTATCAATGTTGTGAGGTCTGATAATATAGATGTAGATTTTGCACATGTGCTTTAAGCCAATCAGATTAAAACACAGATCCTATTTCGTTTCGTTTTTATAGTTCAAAATTTCGTTTTACTTGTCTTTACTACACTAGGATCTGGAAGAATTGTTATCACTGACCTGTTCTGAATGGTGTGAGGAATTAGCCAATGAAACATTCTGTTATGGCGTTTATGTTTTGCACGGAACTGTGGATAATCCACTAGTAACATCAATGCTGATTGGTTAATCAAATGTCTGAGCCATAGGGTCAAAAGCCGCTCGTATGACCTCTGACGCGACCTATCGCTACAACCGGTCAGATCTTCATGTAGTGTAGGCATCGAAAGTATAAAAAAACCGAAATGAAATATAGATCTGGGGACCTGTTTCACGAAACAGGGCACTGTATGTTAATCAGATTGTTCTTTTTAAGCGGCATTTACACGATACAATTATAACCAGTCATTGCTTTTAAGGCGAGCGAACATTCTCAAGTGCCTGCTGATCACCTGAATGCCGACTGACGGGAAGCTTTCCTCCTCCCTACTCTTAAAATTGAAAATCGCTCTTCTTTACAGTCATGGGGGGGGGGGGGGGGGTGTATTATCATTTATCAAAACTAGAAGAGCTTTTTTAGGGGAGCGATTTCTTTCAATTTCAGCTCTCTTCTAAAAATCAAACATCGACGACTGATACAACCAATCCACACAACCGTTGGATGCAATATATTGGATGGCTGTTCACACAATACAATGGTTCTATTTATTCCTGGGGATCACGGTGGCTAAGTGGGTAAGGCGCTGGCTCGCTAGCCTGTAGGTCGAGTGTTCGATCCCTGCATTGGTCGAGAAAGTTCATCCAGATTTTCTGGCGTGGTTCTCCCCACACTGATCCGCAGTGAATATTCGCTTGGCCGCTACAATCACTGATAAGGATGACATCGATGCGACTTAATGACTACAAAATATTAACTTTTTTCTTTCGACAAATTAAATTCTGAAACATATTTTTTAGTATTAGAAAAATAAATAAAGGTGTTTGAAGTATATCTTGATAAAAAATATTCCATATTTAGCGTAAATAGGTACAGAAAATAGTATGCGGAGGCATAAAATGGGTAAAACGATATAATTTTGCCCGTACCAGTTCATATTACTACGTTCGATGTAAACAACGCACGTGTGACCATCAATTTGACGTTTTTTTCTGTTTGTTTACTCTGAATTCTTTCAGAAGTACATTTTTTACTGCCTAATCTGATTGACCGGCCCGTGTTTGTTTTAAAACAACAAAAACAAGCCACAGAAGTAATCTTTTTTGGCGTTATCGATGCAATCTTGCTTTGTTGGTAAACATTGTGATGTGACGTCACCCTTAGAACTACAGCGGTCTGACCTTTTAAAAGTCAGTCATCTTGGACAGAGATAAAAGACGGATGTCGCATTAGGTCTGTAAAACAGATTGGGTTCTCCCTTGTCAGTGATGCAGGACGGAGAGCCTAACAAGGACAACTGTCTAGTCGTTGGAATTCGATATAAAAGTAGGACGTAGTGCCGCTGTCGGGGCAAAATTTCCCTCGTAGCACACTGTATGGCGTATGCCCGTCTTCATAAGCCCAGTTCGGACGTTAAACCCCATTTCATTTCATTTTGATTTGTTTTTTCTTAGTAACTGACTAAAATGGCAGCAATAGACCTCAAGGCAACACTTCTCATCCCCGTCTTCGTGTATTTTTGATACTGCGGGTTCTTACGTCCTATACAGGGTTATTAATACTAATTCAGTCGCGGATAGGTTTAGATCCATTTTAGAGGATGTTGAAGTACTTGAAGCCAAAGAAGAAGACATTATTAATAATGATGATCGAGGGTAGCCTAAAATTCAAAAGCTAATATCTCGGTTCGGAGAGGAACAATTTGCCTGGAATTTTCAGCATATTCTATTTACCTTATCTATTTTTTAACTATTATAGCGAGAACCGTCAACTCTTTATCTAATCTCCATAATGCCCCTTAAATTATTAACATGCAACGACGATACTTTCGTCTTTATCAAGAGGGGATGGCCGAATGGTTAGCATGTGCGCGTTGTATCATAAGGTCTGTCATTGAGTCAACTGGCATGGTTTTGATTCCCCAGTTGTACGCGACAAGCAGTAGTGTCACCTGTCCAACCTCGTGTGTTTTCTCCGGTCTCCTACCATTGCTAAAGACCCATACGCGCAAGCAAATTATTGAAATAAAAATGAACCATATGTTAGTCCCGAAATGACCTAGTTTGTGTCGAGTGGATGTTAAACCCTCTCTCTCTCTCTCGTCATATCAAGCTAATGATAACATCCTGTACAGGTAAAACACTATAAAATCTTCAGCTTTTTACCTGTAAATGTACAGTATGTTATCATTTGCATGATAAAGAAATATCGTCCAAATGCTGCATGTTAATAAACCAGTAATTGTTATTCCATAAATAGTTTTTAGTGCGAAGATTGTAAGTATTATAAAAACGAGGTATGGTCTCAATATAAATTACAATGTCATGATATAACACATACATGTAAATCGCCAGGCAACATACGCCTGATAGTTGGTTTGGTATCTAGATGGTGTTATCAACAACAACATGTGTACTGTGAATTGTTTTGTACTGTAGTCAATGACAATAACTGTGATCATCTCATTAATATTATATTCAGGTATTCGTTATACCGATATACACAGAGGGAGAGAGAAAGAGAGAAATGGGGTTTAACGTCCACTTGACACAAACTAGGTTATTTCGGGACTAACATATGGTTCTAATTTTATTTACATAATTCGCTTGCGCGTAGGGTCTTTAGCAGTGGGAGGAAACCGGAGGACCCAGAGAAAACCCACGAGGTTGGACAGGCCACCCTACTCCTTGCCACGTACAACCGGGGATTCGACACCACGACAGTCGACTCAGTGACAGACTTTATGATACGGCGCGCGCACGCTAACCATTCAGCCATCCAATCCCCCATACACAGAGGAAGAATGGGGTTTAACATCCACTGAACACAAACTAGGTAATTATTTCAGGGCTAATAATATACTACTACTAGGGTGTATTTTCATTTATGCATGGGTCTTTTGAAGTGGAGAGAAAGAGAGAGAGAGAGAGAGAGAGAGAGAGAGAGAGAGAGAGATGGGGTTTAACAGCCACTCGACACAGACCAGGTCATTTCGAACTAACATGGTTCAATTTGTAATTCAATAATTCGCTTGCGCATAGGGGTCTTTAGCAGTGGGAGGAAACCAGATGACCCGGAGGAAACCCACAAGGTTGTACAGGTGAGCCTTCCAGGGTTTAATTTTTATTTCTATAATGCGCTTGCGCGTAGGGGTCTTTAGCAGTGGGAGGAAACCAGAGGACCCGGAGAAAACCCACAAGGTTGTACAGGCAAGCCTTCCGAGGAATCGAAACCACGGCCAGTTAAATTGACTCAATGACAGACCTTATGATATAATTATAACCGGCACACACTAACCATTTCTTCCCCCCCCACCCCCGCTTGGTGTACAAAATCTAGTTTTAGATTAATGGTTGCAATATAACAGGTTCAACCACAGGTAGTACTACAATCTACCTTTGACACCTGTCTGTAGCACCTGTTGACTTCAACTCAAATTAATGCCAATGGTCAACAATGTGTGCGTTTAATTTTTTAATTGCAGTGTTCTGATTTTTGGGGGTGTATGATTTTTGAATTTGGAAATTAGGGCGCATATTATCTGTACCTACATGAAATGTAGGTACAGATATTTGGCAAAGGTTTTAAATTAAAATTTAATCTGACAATCAACTATAATAGCACGCCAGTAGGAAATCTAAATATTCAATTTCGTATGAAAAAAAAAATATATATATATATAGACTAGTCATAATCATGTTACTACAAATGACACTGGGGGTCAGTGTGACTTGTGACTAAAAATAGAAATTATTCCAGAAAACACCAGCAGAATCTATTCAGTCAGCAAAGTGAGTTAGTGACTGCAGACTCGGTACTTTCACCGACTCGTTCGGTTCTTGAGAATGTCAATAGTAAAGTCTACATACCTTCGATTTATAACTGCTTGATCCATTTCGACCGTTCACTCGTCCATTTCCATCTGGTTTTACGCCGTTTTTCTCTTCCTGTAAGTTATGTTTATTCCCTGACATAATTTCCACTGTTTTCGATGCCTTCACTGTTGCCATTTTACTGCGTGCGTTCGTTTAGATTTTTCGGTATTTTATCCGCCCTAAAATAGAAATCTAAGATGGTCGCCTGACTAATGAACCAGTCACTACATTACTGATAACAACATTCAAATATTACTAAGGTCGCTATTTTCAGTTCAAGGATTGTGAGGTTAAACCTCAGTGGAAAAATAAAGTTACTTTTCCTGTACGTTACTCGTTTGGTAAAATCCGAAGATCCAAATATTTATACTCTCAAAAATAGATATTAATCCAGCGATCGAACAGCTTAGAACTCGCGTGAACAGTTACGATGCCTGTGATTGGATCCGGTATCTGCAACTAACCAATGACATATAGTATTCTAAATTTTTACTACCCGCGTCTCGGTCATTTGGACTCAAAAACAAAAGGACCTCAACTCAAGGAGTGGTCCAGAGATAATGCGGAGAGGGGAGCGGTAGATAAAATATCAACATTTCCACAACAAATAATCAAGAAATAAAGTAACAAATGCACTTAAATTAGGAGATTTTTTTAAATGTTATATAATTATACATAAAAAGAATTCCTCATTCTATTTCTATAAATTGCTTTAAAGCTACAATTTCATATTTTTAAGTTATATTTTTAAAATTTATTAAAATAAAGCCTTAAAATAGATGGTATCCATAAACAGTCCTACTTTGTTAAAGAATAATCCTATTAATCCTATAATTCACTATTGCCAGCTGAGAAATTAGCAAAAATATCATTTTCAGCTTCAAATGCTATTCCATGGATCAGGTAATAGGAAAACAAGGGAGGTAATTGTGTTATTATTTCATGTGTCAATGATTTTTAAGGGTGGGAAATAATGCCCATGGTCGTATAATAGTGAGATGATAACCTATTGAGCAAAAGACATAGAAATAATTATGTTTTGACTTTCTTAGAAAATATGAAATTCTCGCTTTAAAGCTACGCCTATTTAAATGGAAACACCCTAATTCTTATTTCTTGGTGAAATTTAAAAATCAAAGAAACAAAGAAAACCTTGTTTTCTCTTTCGTTTTTTTAACTTAAAAGTTTCAAAATTTTAAACATACATTATGGAAGAGCTAAATCTGCCTATTTCAGGTCTTTCTTTATGCCTGAAATGTTATCTAAACAAGCTAACAGCGAGGCTGATGTCCCCCGCCGAAATTCCAAAATAAATAGATGACACATATTCATTAATCGCACATTTATTTTTTTCTAAAGTATCAAGCAATCAAACAAATTATCACCTATACACTAAGTTTCATCAGATAGAATCAAAGTTATCGTGTCCCAAAGCATCGACCAATGAATTTGCTTAGCTCTGCTTAGCTTTAGCTCGAAATGTTAATCATTGAACTCAGTCAAGACATTCACCTAATGAACATCTACATCAAGTTTAAACATTCTACCTCAATTAAAAGCAGAGTTGTCATGTTCAAAAGTCTTTACCAATCAAATTGTTTATCCATCCTTAGCCTAAGCAGAAAATTCTCATCAACAAACTTAGTCAAGGTAATGATATAATGAATCTATACTCAGAGTTTCATCACTCTCACTTAATAAAAACCAAAGTTATCGTGCCCCAAGTCATCAACCAATCAGATTGCTTATCTCTGCTGACCGTAAGCAAACAATGTTTATCATCGAACTCCATCAAGGCATTCACCTAATGAACACCTACACCAAGTTTGAACATTCTAGCTCAATTGGAAGGAGAGTTAATGTGTTCCAAAGTCTCAGCCAATCAAATTGCTTATCGCTCTGCTTACCCTGAGCAGAAAATGCTCATTATCGAACTTAGTCAAGGTATTGATGTAATGAAACTATACACCAAGTTTCATCACTCTCACTTAATTAGAACTAAAGTTATCGTGTCCCAAAATCTCAACCAATCAAATTGCGTATCTCTGCTTACCCTAAGCAGAAAATGCTCATCTTCGAACTCCATCAAGGCATTGGCCTAATAAACACCTACACCAAGTTTGAACATTCTAGCTTAATTAGAAAGAGAGCTATTGTGTCCCAAAAAGTGTGACAGACAGACAGACCCATTTTAATAGTCCAGCTGCTTTCTTCGAAAGGTGGGGGACAATTATTATTTAGACATAAATTAGCTTATCCAGACCATAATCAATTCTCGATGCCATCTGATGTGTGTTGGACTTTCACTGCTCAATGCTCATTGATGATTAAATCAAAAAATGGATAATCAAGACTGTAATTTATCGTACCGACTTTAGTAATGATGGTCGAGGCTAGGCCTAAAATTCAATTGCTAATATCTCGGTTAAGAATGGAGAGATTTGACTGAAATTTTCAACATATTCCTTTTACATTATCTAGTTTTTAACTATTTTAGTGACAACTCTTTATCTTTCATAATGTATCTTTAAATAAAAGAATTGTTCACAGGATTGCAAATGATATTTATTTTTCAATTTGACTCAAATTGAGAGAGAGAGAGAGAGAAATGGGGTGTAACGTCCACTCGACACAAACTAGGTAATTTCGGGACTAACATATGGTTTAATTTTATTTCGATAATTCGCTTGCGTGTAGGGGTCTTTAGCAGTGGGACTGAAACCGGAGGACCCGGAGAAAACCCACAAGGCTGGACAGGCAACCCAATTCCTTGTCACGTGCTAACCACACGGCAATCCAATCCCCCGACTCAAATTGAACAACAAATTAATTTGCTTTCACATCAGAGGAGCGTACCCTATTCCAATAGAAAATATTTCCATATTTATATTATAACCCTTTATTATCTACGTTTGGTTATTTTTATGCAATTGTATAACTTATTCATTAGATAACAAACCTCATCTCTCAACACTCTGTGTTTCGAGATAAGAGATGGTGCTATAGTTCCACGTAGCAAAGCCCAACACAAATTATATTGGGCCTCGGTAAGCAAAATTGACAATATTTTTCATCAAAACAAGGATTGATTATTGTTATTTATAATATTTCTGCCACATCCAACTGAAATTAAGCATATAATCCTCTCTGAAACTGGTATAAATCATCATATTTAATATCGAGGCGTTAAGCCGATACTAAGAACGCCATTTTTAAACGGGAGATGTATGACAGTGTATGTCGGATAAAAACAACGCTTCATTAATTTAAACGCGAATATTTGGAGTTAGGCGATAGTTGTGCCACTACATTGACCTCTGTAAGTTTAATTAGTCATAATAGTATAAAATTATCTTATTTTAAAGATGTTACATGAATTAATAAAGAAACTTGGAATTAAGGGCACCCAATCGTAGCTAAAAACAAGCACATCAGTATATCTCAACGTTTTTAGCTACATTCTCGTAGCTACTTATATTCATATGCAATATAACTTCTAAAGAGGTCTATTACAGGCAATTAAGTGTGAAGGACTCTTATACTCTGGCCTACATTAATCGCTCTATCTTAAAGGAAAGAGAGGAATGGGGTTTATCATCCACTCGACACTAACTAGGTCATTTTGGGGCTAACATATGGTCCAGTTTTATTTTAATAATATGCTTCCACGTAGGTGTCTTTAGCAGTGGGATGAAACTGGGGGACCCGGAGAAAACCCACGAGGTTGGACAGGCAACCCTACTCCTTGTCACAAACAACCGGGGAATCAAAACCACACCAGTTGACTCAATGACAGACTGTATGACACAACACGCACGCGCTAACTATTGTCTGGAACCTTATAACACGACAGGCACGTAACTTTGGTGGGGGGGGGGGCGCAGTGAGAGGAAAGCCACCCCTGCAAAAAATTTCGCCCCCCTCCCCCCTGTGAAAAAATTGTCGATCATTAATAAAATAGATATACATTGTCCGTCAATTTTACAGCACCCCTGAGAACACTTCTAGCCCCCCCCCCCCCACATTGCTCTGCGCTAGTTACCGCCCTGTAATACGGGTAGGCAGAACTGAGTTTAAAAGCACATATTAATGTAATATTATAGTGATTTACATTAAATTATTAATTTAATTTTTAATCCATTATGTTCGGTGAAATACGCGAACAGTTCGAATTGAATAGCAGTTGTTTGGGTTTGCTTAGTCTATTCTACACACATGTTTTTGTTATTATTTTGTCGTTTGTGAATTAGCTATTTTTGTTTACTTCTACCATTGACGTCATTTATAAAGAAATGAAATAAAATGAAATGGGGTTTAACATCCTACTGTTCTGCTCCGAACTGCGCTAATGAAGACGGGCATACGTGAAACAGTGTGCATATGCGAATTCCAACTGTCCAGAGATCTTTTACGTGCACGCCAATGTGTACATGGGACCTTGGTTTTTGTCCAATTCAAACGACTAGACAGCTATTCTTGTCAGGCCCTCCATCTTGCATAACTACAAGGGGGAACCACGCAAGAAAATCTGGATGAACTTTCTCAGCCAATGCAGGGATCGAACACCGACCTCCAGGCTAACCAGCAAGCGTCTACCCACTTAACCAACGTGACCACCACCTCATTTATAGATTGACTGCCAATATTGGGTGGTATAAATGTAACTTCCTTTGAGGAAAGAAAACTAAAATGGCTGCTATCTGTGCTACAGTGTTTTGAGTTTTGGAATAATAAAAAATCAGAAATACTTCTGCACAAATATAAGAAATAAATATTTAAAAGTGTGTAGCTAATTTTTTATCAATACGATTCTTTTTCAGTAGTAAATATTTTGTTTGTCAAATAAGCATTTTATTGTTCAGGCCTTAACAGTAGGAATGGTGCGATATACCTAAAACAAATTGGGATGCATTCGTTACAAATAGCGCTTGAAACCAGTATGTTCATGACCGTGTGTATTGATTTTAAAATGTTCATTTTGTCTTATAGATTTATCATGTAAGATTTAGATAAAGAGCTGGTCGTTCTTGCTGTAATAGTTCCAAAATAGATAATTTAAAATTAATAATATTCATTCAAATTACTTTATCCTGAGCGATCTTATCACTGTTTCAAGTTTAGACATAGATTGTTTATTATCGTAGCACCTTTATTTGTTAATTGCGACTCAGCCTTGCTTTTCTATTTTCTAATCAAATCAAAGCCCAGCTTAACCGGAGCAGGGCCCCTGGGCCTGACTAGAATTCCGAGGCCCCTAATGCGATGAAAAGATTATTGCATATCCTTTTGAATGGCACGCATGCGTAACACACAAACGGTCCGTAATACAAGAATTATATGATCATATACGAAATCTATTCAGTTCCGAAAGGCATACAAGTCTGTGGAACTTCACAGAGAAGGTTGAGGGATAGCTCAATCTCCGCCCTCGTGCCTTTAGATCCTCTCTGTGAAACTTTCCTCTGGAATTTGAATTCTT